TAACAGGGCGTGGCCAAGAGCCAACCGTTTGCTTGTTAGAGAAATGGTCCAAAACCCAAAACCTTTCATCCTCTAGTCATCAAACCCTCCCCCCCACCACCACCATGCTCCGATCTCTTTCCCACAAACGCCACGTTCACCACCACCTCAGAACTCTCGCTGCCACAACCAGCACCATCAAATCCCCGCTCCACCCATCACCATTCTCCCCAGTCCGCACTCTCTCCACCTCTTCTTCCAACTCCAATGATGCCGAGCTCCGCAAGTACCTCGGCTACACTGCCCTCCTCCTCTTCTGTGGCGCGGCCACATACTACTCCTTTCCCTTTTCCGAAAATGCCAAGCACAAAAAGGCCCAAATTTTCCGGTACGCTCCGTTGCCAGAGGACCTTCATACTGTCTCGAACTGGAGCGGGACCCACGAGGTCCAGACCCGTCACTTCCACCAGCCTGAGAATCTTCAGCAGCTGGAGGAGTTGGTCAGGCAATCGAATGAGAAGCGGATGAAGATTAGACCGGTTGGCTCTGGCCTGTCCCCAAATGGGATCGGGCTGGCCCGGGGTGGAATGGTGAATTTGGCGTTGATGGATAAGGTGCTGGAGGTGGATAAGCAGAAGAAGCAAGTGAAAGTGCAGGCAGGGATAAGAGTGCAGGGGTTGGTGGATGCGATTAAGGAACATGGGCTTACTCTGCAGAATTTTGCTTCTATAAGGGAGCAGCAGATTGGTGGCATTGTTCAGGTTTTGTTTCTGTCCGTTATCTTTTCAGGTGTAGGTTTTGTTATTTGTAGGAACTGGTCTTCCTTCTGTGGAATTGAGAAAAAGTACTGCAATTTGCTAATGTTAGCCATATGTTCTTCCTTCTTCTTGGTTGAAAATGCACTCTTTTGTAGTTATTGGAACATGGGTACGATATGATACCTAATTAATAGTTTAATATCAAATTTACATGTGTTGTATTATATGCTAGGATTAAACTGACAAACAATTATCACAAGATAAAGGAGTTTTAGTGTTGACTAATATTTATAATTTGTTAAGAAATGGTGCTTGATAATACTGGGAAGGTAAGAAAATTTTTTGTTCAAATACTTCCCTTGTTAGTGACTGAAAGATGAGTACAAATCTTATTACAAAAAATTTTTGTCATCTCAAATTTACATGTAGGGTAATAAAGCTTGTTGCTTTGAAATTAGACAAAGTTGTTTCAGGTGAAGCTATGCCCTTTTTCAGATGATAATTTGGATCCGATCTCACTTCTCTTATTATCTGCCTTCAGGTTGGTGCACATGGTACTGGTGCTAGATTGCCTCCCATTGATGAACAGGTTGTTAGCATGAAACTTGTTACTCCTGCAAAAGGAACAATAGAGATTTCAAAAGAGAAGGACCCTGAGCTATTTTATCTTGCTCGCTGTGGTCTTGGGGGTCTTGGAGTGGTTGCTGAAGTGACCATCCAATGTGTTGAGAGACAAGAACTTGTGGAGCACACAACTGTCTCAAACATGAAAGATCTTAAGAAAAATCACAAGTAATTCTTTTATGGTCATTTTGTTGAGTAAATATATACGTTCTACTTAACTTAGTGTAAATGAAGAGTCCCCTTGCTCCCTTATATTTCATAAAATTCTTTTGCATCTTGAAAATAGAAAATTGAGAACAATCGTTTATATCATGTAACATTAGATGATCACTTTGTGCTTTGTGGATAATTAGGAATTTAGGATTGATAATGAAACTTTGGGAGATATATGCTTTTACTGTGATTTGTTTGGGGGCTGGTCCAGTCATGGTTCCATTTCCACCAAAGTGAGGTCTTGGGAGGGAGAAACTGAAAAGATTTCGAACTGAGTCCAGCGAAGGTGATACCTTGAGACTTGAGCCTGCATGTGTGTTTTTGTCAGTGCAAGACTTTTACATTGATTTATCATTTATCAAAACACTGAAAAATTTTGGATAAAAAATTTTGGTTAATGGTGTTTAACTTTTGGTGTTTGTAAGCTATGCACTGTGTATTTTAAATTTCAATTATGACAATGCATTTTCTTTACCTAGGCGGAATTGCTATGTGCTCTAACATTTTATTTTCTTTATGAAAGTTGGCTCTTGTTCTGTTGGTATTATAAAAAATCAAAGAATGATTTATGGGGGATCTATCTGATTTCCAAATGTTGTATGGCTTTCTTTTTCCCCTTTTTCTTTTTAATAGGAAGATGCTTTCTGAGAATAAGCATGTCAAGTACCTCTACATTCCTTATACTGACACTGTTGTAGTGGTGACATGCAACCCTATTTCCAAATGGAGAGGTCCACCAAAATTCAAGCCTAAATATAGCAAGGATGAAGCTCTACAGCACGTTCGTGAGCTCTACAGGGAGTCCCTTATGAAGTACAGGTGTGGTTGTTGTCTTTAGCTGTTAGGACACAGAAATGTTGAAATGCTAATACTGTTGCTCTTATGACTTGGAAATGTTTGGAGACTTGGACCTTTTGCTACCTCTTTCTTTAATTCTATATATCTCCTTTTCTCGTTCTTCATTTAGTAATTGAGTAAAGGTATTAGTGACTTGTCTGGAATGTTTTTTATGTTAAAATTGTATGCATTACTGAGAAAGTGCTAACAAATGCACCCTGAATAAGTTGAGAAGCTAACAGTAGTAAACTATTGTAATTCTTAAGCCTGGCAGCATAGTTATATGTTGAGGTATTTAAAATTATAGTGGCCTCTAAGATACAGTGAAAGGTAATAAAGTTTTGGAATTGTAATCAGAATGTGACTGGTTTGCTAATTTTAGAGGTTAGAACTTAACTTGTCTACAACTTCCATGAACTATAGCCATATGTTTTAGGTAGTTGTTGAAAGTCTTCTCTTTTTGTTTTATCATTTAGGTTACTGGCTTTGTCTGTTTGTATTCCAAGAGTAATAGCTTGTCATTTTGTATGTTTTGGTGTGGTGTACCATTGCTAGAGAGCAGCACCATTTAAGTCCTATAGATGTGTGTAGAGAAGAAACCATGACAGTGATTAATTGATAAGTTCATTGTAGTTATAAGGCTAGCAATTTTGGAATCAACTCAAACTTAAGATGGCTGAATGCCAGGTTGATGTCTAAACATCTAAAGCCAACTCTCTTTTAGATCAACAACAAAAGACTAATTTGTCTATACTCTTCTATCCCTTTCTCTTTTTCTAGTTTCTTTTGTTTACCCTTTTTTTTCTACTGAATACCTATATCCCTTTTAGATTTTCAGTTGATTAACTGCTTGCATTAGTATTCTGCAGGGCTGAAGACATTGCAGCTAAATCATCTGACAGCAGAGAACCAGACATAAATGAGCTTTCATTCACAGAGTTAAGAGATAAACTGCTTGCTCTTGATCCCCTCAACAAAGACC